ATTTTATGACAAGATGGCTTAACAGAGCTGAACCTAAAATTCCCCAATTCCCCACGCATCTTTTCATGACTGCATTCTGCTTTACAAACAGATCAGCTGGCAAATCACCCAGGACAGCTTGTTGGCTGTGCTCTGCACACAGTTTATTCATGACTCACTACTGATCCTGCAGGCAGGGTGGCTGCGGTGGCTCCCTCAAGACCTGAGGGGTGCTCTGAGCTGGCATTTTTGGGTGTCAAACAAGCTCAGCAGTAAATAGTGATTTAGGAAGGGCAGAATCCTCCCTCAGCCCTTCTCACAGCTGTCCAGCCCAAATCCCCTCTTAAGGATGCGGGCAGGGGGACACGTAGCTTGTGCTGTGTCACCTTCTTCTGTCACATCCAGCTCCTGGGAGAGGATGCACAGGACACAGGGAAAACTCACCTGATGTTTTGGTCATTTCCTAGCAGGGGGGAGAACATCAAGTGGCAGCTGAACCACCCCTTTACAAAGGAGGGTTTGTTCAAGGACAGCTTTGGAGTGTGCAAAGCTTGAGGTGTAAAAAGCAGATAAAGAGAATTGATATGAAAGCAAAGCACCAGGGAAAAGGCAGATGTGAGATCAGCAAGTTCACTTTTTTCTCGTACACAGAAAAAAGTTGTTTCCTGTTCTGCTAAGAGGTGCAGACAAGCCCAGGCAAGCAGGGAGAGCAGAGGAGAAATGACAGCTGTGCCCAGCCAGGCAGTGCCTGCACCTCCAGCACGGAGAGCTGCCTTGCTGCTGCACGGGGACTCAGCAGAGAGATGCTGCAGCCCAGACAAATTCCTTTGGAACTGGAACTCCCCTTGATCCAGCAAGGTGTGGCTCTGCACCAGCTGTACCCCAGCTCCCTCATCCCTGCCCACCTTCTCCTTCGTTTCCAGCGTTTCTGGATCCACCTTGTGCATGCAGATGTTCTCGCTGCTGACATAATAATCCCCTTTGTACAGTACGTAGTTCACACTGCAGTTGTCGCTGGGCTCTGAAACAGAAATCCCAGAGTTGTGCACAGCTCTGTGCAGCTCATGTTACATTATGGCAAAGTTAGATGTGTGTTTAAACAAATAAACCTATTTGCAGTGACATTAATCCCCGTGACATTGATTAGAAATATCTCGCTAATCTACAAAGGGAAACTGCCTGTGCAGGTGAAGCCGGGTTAAAGGGACAGGACAGGGATGGAAATCACTGCTGGAGCTGGGTAAAGGCAGGTGAGGGATGTGAATAGGTCTGGAATGTCTTGAGGGAGCTGGGGTGACCATGAGTGAAGGTGTGAGCAGCTCAGGAAAGCACACATGACGTGGCAGGAGGGGAGAGGAGAAACAAGGATGCTCACAGCATCAGCCACAAGCTGCAAACTTCAGCCCTGTGCTGGTTTTAGTGGGGAACACTTTGCTTGCATTTAAGCCTCTTTCTTCCCTGACGTACACAGAATCCTAAAGGTGCTGGAACTTCCCTTCCTGTGCAGCACCATCCCTCACCCTACTCAATAATCTCCTGCCCCTTAGTCCAGGAAGGGAGGGATTAGCCCACTTACCCTACAAGCTTAGCCAGGCAAGGTGTTCTAAGGGCAAAGCTGTGTCTCAGGTAGAACATCAGGGTGTAATGCTCATTATCAGCACTGCACAGAATGTTCTCTTGGGGAGAGCTCTCTTTGGGAAATTTGCAAAAAGATCCAGTATGGAGCAAACTGAGGTGGTATTAAAACATTAAACTCTGCCTCCCCCAGCTGAGGCTGACACCAATTTGCATAATTTTCACATTTGGGTCATATTCTAAGAAAAACATGGGCTCACAGAAAGTCTGTCAGACTTCCTCACCCCTCCTTTTCCACCTAACCACAAGTTCCTCCAAGGAAATCTGAGAAGCCTCTCGTGTTTTACAGAACCACCCTTACGCAGCGGCTCAAAGCGGGACAGGAAGCGCCCAAAGATGCTCTTGCACGGGTCTGGCATGGCCAAGGTGCCAAACTCCGAGGCCACGATGCGGTTGTGCTGGCTGTTCCTCAGGTAGGAGCTGCTCTGCAGGAACCTGCTCCTGTAGGTCACCGTGCCATGGGCCAGCTGGAACTGGTGCAGCAGAGCCATGCCATCGAACCAGTGGTTAAACCTTCCAGGAGAGAGAAAAAAGAGATTTAAGAGTTGGGCATTATATGATGTCACTACAGGACACGTGAAAGCACAACGTGAGCCGCTGCTATTACAAAGGTGAATAAGAGGAAGTTTATTTTCTGACTCCAGCATTTATACTTTTCCAAAAGTGACAGTGGATTGGAGAGTGAATGTGCCACCTCTCCAATGACATTGGACAAACTACTAGTGCATCAAATTTCTCTGCCTCTGTGGAGGAATGGTAAATAATAGATTGTTTACAGAAAGTAGTGTGAGAAAGTTCTTTACAAGAACATAAACTCAGAAGGCTTTAGAAAATCTTAAGAATCAGGGCAATAATATGATGCTCTGTAGTACCCTCTTTTATGTTTACTGATGTTTGCAAAAGGTAATTTCCAGATCCCAAACCAAATCAAAACAAGTGTCTTCACAGCTGTGGGATGTGGTGTCTACAAATGCTGTGTGGAAGGTTTTGTGGGAAATAATCTACACAGATAAACCACCCACTCCTGCAAGGGAATAGAGTTTGAGCTGTTCAACAATATAAATTATTACTGCAAACCCAGAGGCCTTTAGCTCTCAGCTTCTTGCAGGATGTTATTGTCTCCAAACCAAGGGATCTGTGAGACTCCCAGAACACCGGATGCTGTAACTCCAGGAATTTGAGGAGGAGATCAGCTTTGGCCAGTTGCTGCCATCAGCTGAACTGTCAGTTACACATTCCAAGCCACAGGGAGTAGGTGCCTTCTGGGAATATTTTCATGTATTATTATTAAAAGTGTGTGGATTCACTTCTAAAGCAGCTCACGCCATTTGGTGCAACCAACTCTCCAAATTCCTGCCCTGGATTTGTTTCAGAGTGCTCAGGGGAGGATTTTTGTTCAGCATAGAGGACTAAGCTGGAGATGTTTTCTTCCCCATCCCTCCAGGGTGAGTGGGTGAGAGCCTGCCTGTGACTCAGCTTCTCCAGCCTGGGTGATGTCACCCTTCAGCTCCTCTTTGCAGAAAATGGGAGTTCCCAAATGAGGGAGCAACTGCTCTCAAAATAGTGACATTGAGATTCCTTCCTTCCCTTACGTAAAAAGAAATGAAAAGATGCTCTAAATAGCAATGGGGAGGGTCCCTTTTAGGTTTAGTCAGAGTTCAGACCAGAACAAATTAAACATTCATTTAAAATACTTACTTGTCATTACCAAACTCAAACTTGCCGGGGCCATTCCTCAGCAGATTTCCATTAATCCACTTGGGGATATGTCCTTTGATCTTGGCTGGGATGGGCTCGGGGGTCTCCTCCACGCTCTGCACTAAGGGGGAGATGCATTGCAGCCCCCGGGCTCTGTGGCACAGGGTTTGCTCCTTGGGTGGGCTGGGCAGGTAATTCCTGAAACCTGCAAAGAGAGCAGGGAGAACACAAAGCGGGGAATTAAGATTTTCACTGGGCTAAAGTGACAAATGCTAGATCTTGAGATTGGATGTCAGGGAGAAGAGCATTCAGCATCTGCAAGCAGCCGGGTTGTGGTGGATACTCAAGGTAACGCCACAAAACCCAACATATCCACAGGGATATGTTGAAAACCCTGTGGATTCTGCTCTGCTCTAGTTAATCCACAAGAGACCCTAGCTCTGCAGCCCGAAGGAGGTAACAGAATACAGGATGATAGAAAAGATGACGGCTTTTCTTTCAATCAAAGAAATGCATATTTGGATTTAATTCTAAAAAAAAATAGAACACCAATGAAACTGAGCCAAAGGCCATTTACAGGACAAAAGAGACACACAAGTTTTATTTGGCAGGGAAGTAAGCAGAGAAGGATCATTTCTGATGGAGCCTCTGATTCGGCTGTAACAACCCCTGCGGAGAACAAAAGCCCCAGGAGAGCATGAAGTGATTGGAATGCTGTGAGCTACCAGCGATGGCAGTGATTGGCTCCCACAGCCTGGTTTGCAAAGCCTCATCAACACAAGGATTGCTTCAGCAATCCTTTTAGCTGCAGAGGTGGATTTAGCCGGGGGTGCCTCCCTGCCCAGGCTTGCACCTGCCCATCCTGCCCTCCGTGTAGCTGATAGTAAAAGCGTTTTAAAATCATGGGGATTTAGGGTTAAAAGGAAAATTAAGCTTAGTAGGCTCTAAAAATATATATACCCTGGGAATATGTAAGCCTTGTACCATGCTAGAACTGCACCTATGTAGCTAGTACATGATAAATTGTATAATTTTTAGATATGATTCTTGTGTAATTAAATATAAATACTGTTTAATCGTAAGAATAATCATGAGAAACTGTGGTCAGAAGCTTAAGAAAGATCACGAGAAACTCATGTCAATGTATACAATAGAACAATGTAAGTTTAATAACGATAGAATATAAAATACGTTCAGCTCGAAAGCCGTGTCAGAGTCAGATTTGGGTCTGTAGCCCTGATTCCCAGAGCTCTCAATAAAACACCTGCAGAGAATCATATCCTGTGATTATTTGTGTTCCTGAGACCACAGACCCAGCCTGAGCTGCTGAGCACTGAGCTGGGAGTGAAATATTGACCCAAAAGAGCACCAGGCAGGCAGAGCTCCATGACCCAGAGCTGCTGCAGCCACCACACACTGCATGGAATCCAGGCTGTTCTGAATTCACTCTCATTCTCTGTTCTTTCACCACCCCTGCTCCTGGCTACATCCTTTAATCCAGGCGACCAAGTGTAGCTGATGCCCAATTTCCCTCCTCTGAAACCCTTTACTTAACACCTCCAGAGGAAATCTGCTGTTTCAGCCAGAATAGCTCCAAAAGACCTGAGCTGGCAGGCAGAATTCTGCTGAGCTTGTTTCTCTACGCAAAAACACCCATAGGTTGGATGTTGGGATTGCAGGAAGGTAAAATGCAAGATTCCAGTGTAGATCTCCAATCTGCCAATTGCCAAATCCTCATTTAGATCTATGAAGTGTTTGCAGAAATGCAGATTTCATTTGCAGAGGTGCAAAATATACATTAAAGAATGGGAGGAACACATCCATAAGGAGATATTTTGAAGATTTCATTTGCAGGGGTGCAAAATACCCATTAAAGAATGGGAGGAACACATCCGTAAGGAGATATTTTGAAGATTTCATTTGTAGGGGTGCAAAATACCCAATAAAGAATGGGAGGAACACATCCATAAGGAGATATTTTGAATCCAAGCAGAAAAAAAGCTTGCCTCAGGACATGCCTCAGGACAACAGTACATTGAAAGTTCACAGAGAGCACTGTAAATGGAAATTTTGGAAAGATACATTCCACAAAAGATCCTCAGGGCTGGAGAAGACCTCCTGAGTCCACCCCTCCCAACTGTTGTCCCAGAAATTCTTATGTAAGAACTCTGTCATAAAAATTATGATGTCTACAGGCACTTACTCCCTCTTTGGATAACTGCTCCTTGTCCAGATGATCATGAAAATGCTTTGAATTTACCAAAGGACGAAAATCTTGTTTTTCTTGAAGCTCTGGTTTGTTGTTTTGATAGTTTTCCCTTCCTTGCACTGTATTTAGGGTGAAGAATCATATCACTTCCTAAGCTAAGTAAGCCAAGTTCTTTTTGTTTTTCTTGTCCTGTGATAACCATTCACGTGATCATCTCAGTAATCCTTGAAATCTGATCTAGTTAGAACTCATCTCCTTAGAATTCATTCCAAGGCATCCTCTACAAACTGGAGATCAATAGAATGGACTATAAACAAGAAGAATATTTAAGAGAACGCCCCAAACCTAGGCTAGAGAGGGAGAAAGATGAGCAGCAAGAGAATGGATTATTTTTTTCTTCTGGGCATCACTCAAATGAGCTGAAGATCCTGACAGAAATGAGTGCAAAATGGGAGAAACAAGACAAGTCATTGCAGACAATTCTGATTAGCTAGAGGGAAGGCATGCAAGAAGGAAAAAAAAAATAAAACACCAATCCTACATATTTTCCCTATTAAACAGAAACAGATTTGAAAAATACCTGTCCATTTTAATTGCACTTCAAATTAATTGCACTGAAGACATGGAACACAGAAAACTCCCCATGATCACAATGTTCCTGAGTATTTTCAAAAAAGGTTTTCAGCCTTGGGGGAAAATTCAGTTATACATTAAAACATTTTGTAACATCCAGCTGCCCAAATAGAGGCCCATCTCTCTCTGAAAAAGGCAGAAGACAGACTGTTTTTTATTATTAAACAATATGTAAATAAAATTACTCCTTCTGTTCTGGCCACACTCTGAGATGGAAGAACTTCATCCCACGTTTAAAGCCCTATAGACCCAGTGGGGCTCTCTGTGTTTGCTTGAACACCTGAAAATCAGCACGAGATCTCAGACCCCTCATTTCTCCACCGTAGTTTCCATCCTTCCTCAGACTTTTAAAAGCAAGCTGAAGGATTTTGGGATCTCAGAGCAGAGGCAGTGCCAGACACGGAGCTGTAACTTTGCTCCAATATTTCCTAAACCAAGCTGACATTGACTGCAGAGTTATCCTGGTGGCCCTTTGCTTTGTGTTTCCCTGCACACTGTGCCATGATTTCACTGCCCAGGACAAACTGACAGCCCAGTATTGATCATTTATTGATTGTTCATATGCAGAAATGGTGGGATGAAGGACCAGGCTCTTGAAGAGGAAGCTGCTGTGGGTGCAGCCACCATGAATCAGACATTAATTTGTATTTCAAGAGCAGTGGGTGAGACACAAAATCTGTAATGGATGACTGAACCATGGAGCTATTTGCTAACATTGGGATCACATGGGAGAGGGCAAAGCCATTTTGATTTTAATCTACAAACTCAAAGCCAAAGCTCAGGAACCACCTCTCCACGCACAGTCTGACTCGGAAGGACATCCAGAATTAAGGACAAAATTTAGCAAATAGAATTATTTCTATCATAATAAAAATTTCTGTTATATTCTTCAAGTAGGGAGAATGAAGCAAGAATTGTCTTTTCCCCGAGGATCATTCAAACTGGGAATAATCCTCTGGCACAGGCTGCGTTTTGTTCCGTATAAAACACAGACTGGAACGACACGAACGCAAAGCAGTTTTCCCCGACCTCAGCCCAAAGCAGAGCTGTGGATTTGTGCCCTCCAGACTCCAGCCTTGCCCAGGGCTGGAGCCCTGAGCTGCCACTGGAATTTCCGAAGGGAAGGTGCAGCACTTGCCTTGGGAGTGCCGGGACGTGCCTGTGCTGGGCTCCTTGTTCCATGCAGCTGCTTGGTTCCCCATGGCCAGGGGCTCAGGCACCGACTTCCTCGCTAACAGCCAGAGGAGCAAAGGAAAACAGGAAAGAAACGACAGAAAAACACAGGGAAAAAATAAATGGAGAAAAAGAGTAGGGGAAGGCTCAAAGGAAGGAAAGGATGGCGACAGTGAGCTCAAGCACATGAAATAGCTGCTGATTTCCCAGCAGAAATAGTCTATGCTTTGGGGAATTCTGGTGGCACAACAAGGCAGATTTGAGATTTTTTTCAGCTCTCTGGATACCTCGGAAGCAATGCTTTGAATTCAAAGGGCACAAAACCATCACTACCATCAAAAAGGAGAAATTCCCATGAGATCGGCCATGATTTTTATTGGTTCCTAATTTGTGAAAACGGGCAAGCAAATAAACAAAACAAAACAAAGAAACAAAAAAAGCCAAACAAAAAGCAGCTCCAGCTGTGCAATGATGACACGAAGCGCAGGGCCGGGCTGTGACAGAAAATCCTTTGGGGCAGTTTGCACGTTCAGGTTAAAGCCTCGGCAAGGATGCAGCTCCAAAGAACCCTCTGCCTGCCCACTTCCAGCTGGCTCCCTCGCACAGGGAATCTGCTGTGCGCTGCTTTTCCAGCTCTAGACCATCTGTATCTGCTGTAATCCTTGCCTGTGCCGTTTATCCATTCAACGAATAACAGACACTTTCTGCCATCTAACAAAGACTTCAAATCGCTCCGCGGCGAATTGCTGACAATCGGAATTGTCCTCCCGGCCCGTGGCAGCGGCAGCAGCCCCTTTCCGAGGGGACGGGATGAAAGGGATTATTTAACGCGTTTTACCTGGAATGAATTGCATCAAAGAGGAGAGGAAGTGCAGCAGGTGAGCGAGCAGGAGGCTGGCGGCGGACAAAAGGATTTTGGCCAACATATTCCGGCGGGCAGAAAGCATCGGCTGGGAGCGGCCGGGCGGAGGTAGCGGTGCCAGGGCAGCGAGCGGGAGGCAGCGATGGTCGGGAGAGGTGAGCGCTGCCTCTCATCATCCTTTCACAATAAGAGCCGTGCCCTGCCCGCCCTGCCCGCAGCGGCGCCGCGTTCTGCCGGCCGGGGCGGCTCCGCTGCGCCCGCCGGCCCCGAACGCTCCGCGCACCTGGGCCAGGTGAGCTGCC